GAATTACCGTAAGCCTCTGGACTGTCATCCATGGTTTTCAGATTTCTTTTTTCCATTTTTATCACTTTTATGTACAATTGTTCGCTTTTTTGTGCCACGTTTACGTAAGGCGGCTCGATTATGTAAATCTATCTAAAATAAAGTCCTATTCACTGATATTGCTATGATTGCAGATCAATGTGGCAAACTGACGTCTAAAATGTTTCGCCGTGGAAGCGCAAGACGGAAAAGCGCTGCACCGTCGGCGCAAGAGCTATCAGCGCAAGCGTTTTCACCGCTCAGCACCAGGATCTATGTGATCTACGGGGATTCTGACGGTAATCCATGGATTCTTAGAACAAATGTTCTCTTCTATGTTTTTTTTTAGAATTCGAAATGGAGCGCCAAATGCTATGGATGGATATGTTGCCGGAGTTGCAGAGCTATGCATTTCATTCGGGATTCGATATTGAATGGATAGATCCATTAAGTGAAAGAGGTAGCCTTACGGAGACAATGGTCGATCGAATCATGGCCGGCGTAGAAGCAGAGGATAGCTGGTTGATTGTGAGTTTTGCGCAAATTTACACTATACGTCCGATCCTCTTTTTTAAAAAATGAGTAACAGGGTTACTGTAATAAAAATTATGGGGAAATTTAGTCATTATGTTCAGAACAAAGGGCGTTTTGCTTCAAAGTATTATTCAGTTGGAAGAAATAGGTCTACACCGTTAAAACTATAATACTGTAAAACTGTATTCTCTGCATTCTTATTTAGTGCCTCCTTGGTGAGAAGTACGGTACCACTGGTCCACCAAATGAGATGCTCAAAGAAGAATTTGAAGCTATACGAGCAGCGGTTTTTGAGCAAAGTGCAGGTAAAGCGCTTTAATCATTCTTGATCGTAAATCTCTTGATACTGAAAAGGAGACATTGCTTGGGCTACAAGAATTTATGGTGTGACACATTGGTGCATCACTTCAAGTGAGACACCGGTGACTCACCCGCGCGAGGCGTTGGTAAATTACGAAAATTTAGAATTTTTTGAGTGCCTTAAATCCTAATCTTTTTTTTAGATTTGAAATTATTGGACCAACACTATGTGCTTGACCGAACTGTTAAGAAAGGACAATACCGTTTGAATACGCCTGTGGAAGATGAAAAGCTACGTTCTAAATTGGCTAAAGTTGTTCAAAAAGGAGCGAAAAGTGTTGGTTGTTCAGAGTTCCTTTCCCTTAAGTTTAACACTCAA